GCAGATATACAGAGGTAAGGGGCACTTTCCTGTGGGAAATGTAACATAGATTAATTATGAGGATGTAAGATCAGTTGGGGTTCGGACAGAGCAGAAGGGGAAAGAAAAGAAAACATCTTTGGGTAAAAAAATTTGAAGAATATATTCTGGAATTGAACAGTGGTGAAATTTGCACAACATTGAGAATGCACTGATTACTTTAAACCATACTAAAATCTTACATTTTATTTATATTTGTTCTAACACATATCTCTGGGAAATAAGAGTAGCAGTGAATAGAATGATAAATAAATCTGGAAGAGATGGGAATGGCAGGTCTGGGTCAAGAGCTGCAAGGAGGTAGAGTTCAAGAAAAAAGCCCTGCTGTGGAGCCACCAGGAGGTCCAGCTCTGTAGCTGGTGGACAAGGGAATCCAGGTGCCTGCTCTTGCTGTGGGGCCAGAGCTTGTGAGGGAGCTGCAGGTAGAGCTGGCACAAGGTCAGCAGGTTCAAGTTCTGCATGGCCTGAAACTGGCTCAACAGTTCCAAGAAGAGAAAAGATGACCAACTGTCGATGGGTTTCTTGGGGCAAAACCTTCCCACTGGCTGTCAGAGGGAGCCATGTGCACCAACATAGCCCAAGCAACACAGTTGTAGATTACATCCCCCCACTGACTGCTGAGAGTCTCATGCTCCTTGGTCCCCAGCATCTGTGTGCTTTGCTGAGTTCCAAGGCCCATCCCCTCCCACAAGCCCACATCCCACATCCCAGGGTTACTTACCCTAGGGTCTCAGCCTTGGGGGGTTCAGGAGTCTCTAGCTGGTCTAGGAGAAGCTCAGCCTGGGGATCCACATGTGAGTAGAGTTCCAATGCAGAGTCAAGCACAGAAGAGGTGGACCTGGTACAGGGAAGAAAGGAGCAGAGTGAGAGGCCTGGTCTTTCCTCCAGCACTACATGCATAACTCACCTGTAGGGAGGTTGTATGAGCCTCCTGCCCAGGCTGTACAGGATCCAGCCACACCCTCTCCCACCCACAGTGAGGCAGTATAGGCCTAAGGAGACCTTAGTGGCTGAAAGAAATCTCCATGGGAGGGAGCCCTTGCTTAGTTGTATCACATGTCTACTTTCTTCAGGGAAGCCTGACAGTGCTTCCCTGCCCTTCCCCAGTGCAGGTCAGCTTGGTGAAGGTGAGAACTGGAACCTTCCCTGTCTTTGCACTCAAGGGCTCAGGGCTGCCACTCCATGAATATCTGATAAGTGAGGAGTAAGTTGGTGTCTCTCCTGCCTCTCTGCCATCTCTAGCTCAGGCAGTGATCTATTGTCCAGTTCTCTTTGCCTCTGTATAACTCCTTGAGCATGGTCTATACCCTCATCTGGGAGACGTGGGGACCAAAACAATGGCCTTGAGGTGAGCAGTATCTGTTCTGTTGCCAAGGGTGACTCTGGACTCCAAAGAACATCAAAACTCAAAAGGCAGTTGTTGCACCTGCTCTGATTACAGGATTATGGTCAATACCCAGAAAAACGTCTGCACACAGTGTGTCTTCATGTACATTTGTGGGTTGATTACACTTGTCTTTCATGACATCTGATAACCATGGATGCTTTGCTATACTCAAGATTTCCTGCTTTGAACAATCCCTGAAGCCCAGACAGTGAATCTCCAGTCTCCTTTCCAATGAAAAGAACTGCTTCCCCCAAGTGTTGGTCAGTGAGAGGGATAGAAGATCATCCATGGGAATCAGCACAGCCTCTAAAATAGGTCTTCAGCACAGCCTCTACAATAGCCAAGGCCACAGCTAAGCACTTACTGTGGAACCCCCATTTCATCCTCAGTGAACCCTGATGTCTTGATCCACTCAGCACACCACCATTCAGTATTGAAAACTGGGGTTGAGTGAGTCCCTTGTACATGGCCAGGACCTGAATCCGCAGGTGGTCAAGTCTCTCTGGGCTGCTAAGGTAAGAACTCACCTCAGCTTTGGTGCCTCTGGGGCTGAGAATTCAGCCCTAGAAAAGTCCAGAGAGAAGTGGCTGGAGCTGGGCCAGCTGTCCAGGAAAGCTGGCTCCAGAGGCTTCCTCAGGCTGTGAGGCCCATCTGCCTGCACCAGGCTTGCCATACAGACCTCTGCCAGGTTCTCTGGTGACTGAGTTCCCATCTGTGGTGAGATAGTGGGGAGACATGGAATTGATGTCCTGCACATGGCATCTCGGGGGTTTGCGGCTGAAGCAAAGCCCACACTCTAAATGGTCCACAGGGCTTCATGGTACAAGGCTCACAGGAGGACCCCAACAGAAAGGGGAATTTCATATTGAAAGTTACCTTTCATGAGGGACACTTAGGAATACTAGCATGCTCAGTTCACCTTGATAGAGGAGAGGCTGAATAGAACTCTATGCATGAACAAAACTATGAGTAATAAGATGGTCCCCATTTTAGACATGAGAAAACAGAGGCTCATTCTGGATGTCCAAGTTCACTAATGAGGCCCACAGAATGCTCCTCAGGTTTCTGATGAAATGTCCCATGAAGGAATTAAGTTCCTCTTCCATAGCCATGGAAGATGAGCAGCTGTGTTCACTGCTCTCTTGTTCTCATTTAGCCCAGAGGCTCCTGCAATAGGAACTGCGGTGCCTGAAAAAAATTCTGTGACACAAGTGCCAGATAAATCAACAGAGTGGACTGACGTTTGAGGTGAACACGTCTCTGATGAGGTGATGATATGTAAGAGCTTGAGACAGGGTGGAAAGACAGCCAGCTAATGGTCCATGGACACCAGGCCCAGGACTGACAATGAGGTGCAATGGTAGAATTCAATCATGACAATAAATGAAGTGACTTTGTTTCTATGTCCCTTTCTCCTGCTTCTACCAACATGTGGAGAGTGATCTTGTCTGTGACAAGGTAGAGACTGAGTAGAGAGGATATGGTAGCTGAGCACTGGGAGTCCAGCTTCCTTGGTAGCAGGACTATGGACCCAGTGTTTGACAAGCCCTGGAGCGATGTGCCCAAAGTTCCTCTCAGTCATCTGTGGGCCTCCTTACAGTCCCTTCTGCTCACACACCCTGCACCGGAGCCCATACCTATTGTAATTGTGGGTCCCAGTATCTGGAGCAGGGACATGGCACACAGGGCCCAGGGAAGAGCTCCAGGCCAATGGTCTGTGTGCAGCACTGTAGCAGCAGTGCCCAGCAGCCTGGAGGAAGCCTGAGGCTCTGAGACACCACAGGTTTTATGTTGTTAATCTAGATAATCTTATGTTCCTCAAAGACAGACAGCTCTGTCCCAGACTTCTACCCAGAACCATAGGAGATGTTTATGGAGGCTGTGGATAAACATGGGCACTGCCCTTTTCCTCCTGCCAGCCTTGTTCTATGGGTAAGAACATGACAGTGACCCATGCTCAGAGATTCCCAGTACCTGCCCCTACCCAGGAGAATCTGCCCTCAGTGCCTCTCCTCAACCTCCCTCAGACTGATGACCTAGGCAGGAATTGTTTAGGGGGACTCACAGTGGTGGCCAGGCCTAAAGAGACATGTCTGGATTCAGTATATCTGAGTGGCTGGTGGCCAAGCCTAGGGACATCTGTCCTGGGGTCCCTCTTGTGTCTGGGCACCAGGGGCCTTGGGCCAGTGAGCCCTGCCCAGTGCTGACTTGTCTGTTGGGCAGTTCTCTGAGAGCATCCTGAAGCATCTGGGCCAAGTGAACCATCCTTTCACTTATTCCCAGGTGATTTTCTCATGTGGGGTCCGGCTGAGGCTTCTAGGCATGGGAAAGCAGCACAGCATATACACTGGTCACTCTATTGAGCTATGCGCCTGTGAAGGCTGTCGCCACACCAAGGTGCCTCGTGACCAGAGCCTTCAGAGTTCTGTTAAGGCCTGTTGCCAAAGAAATGAGGTCACAGGCTGGTGTCCATAGCTGGGCCTCCCCCTCTGATGACCCTTGTCTTTTTATTGTGGAACAAATCTGTGTTCACCTTAGAAACAGCAAAGTGAAAAACTAGAAAACTGTGTGTGGTTTTACACTTTGAAGTTTTTAATGCAGCAAACATGTAGATGCTTCAGATGTGGCAGGCATTGTGCCAAGCACACATTTCCATCCAAAGTGTCCATTCTCTCTGAGTATGAGTTGTTCACTGTCTTCACTGACAGATCTGTCACATTTTCCGAGGACTTTCTTTTCTGGGCTTATGATAGTTTCATTTCAATTCCAATAGTGAGCATGGAGATGCTCCTAGAACACCCATAATAATTTTTTTAAGGATGTGAATGTTTCATGTTATAACCCCTGTCTGTCCAGGGAAGGAGGATTCATAGCAAGTTTTACTCTCACGTGCCTATGAATGATTACTTACTCATCCTTAGATGTTTACCTCAACCACACACTGTAGTGCTCTGTACTCTGACATCCTGTGAGGGGAAACAGCAGGTGGTGAGTGCAAGGGGAGGCTTTGCCAGGCTGTGGACATCATCACTCCATGCTGATGAAGGACATATGTGTATCACTCCTGGCAAACTTGTCTCCTACCTACAGCTATCACTTCCTGTCCTCGCATCCCAAACAGACCATTGGCTTTGTGTCCCTGCTGGGTAGTTTGCCTTTCCTAGAGGTAATGGCACTGTGCCTGTTCAGTTATGATGCTCTTTGGTTGGTCTCATTCAAGCAGTGTCTCAGTCCTGGACTCACCCTCTGATGCCACAAACCACTAATATGGGGCTGAACCAACCACATGTGACTTCTTCGTGACTTGTCACCCATCTGCTGTTGGCCCTTTGTTCTATTCCATGGTCGGCACTTGAAATTCACCTGCCACAGCCATTTTTTAACACAGGCTTGAGTGGATACAGGCTTTTATTTTCAAGAAAAAGTACTTAAATATGAAATTACTGAATCATATTGCTGGTGTATGGCCAACTCAGAAATTCTTAAAGTGTCTTTGAAGCAGTTGTTTAAAGCAGAGTTAGGTGGTTGCTTTTTGTTTTGTTTTGTTTTCTTATGCTATACTATGCTATGCTATTTTATGTTACATTATGTTATTTTTTGGTGAGGATTTTGAAACACCCTCAGTGTATTTTCAGTGCTTTCTGATTTAATTTTGTATAATCAACTTGAGAAAATAAAAGAATATCACATAACTCTGTAGTTTTGTTTTGGAGAAAATTTAAAAAGGAAAACACAGTCAGGGTTGTTGGTGCACACCTGTCATTCCGGTACTCTGAAGGCAGATGGATTGTTGGGAATTTGAGGTCATCTTGGACTACAAGGGAAGATCAAGTCTAGCCTGAACTGCATAGCAGAACCCTATCTCAAAACAAAGCATAAAAGAAAGAAAAAAAAGAAAGAAAGAATAAGAGAAAAAATTTTTAAATAAAATTTCAAAAATCGCCTATGAATTCAAAATATAAATATTTGTGAGGTTTCTTGCAAGTGTACTTCAGTCAGCACACCTAGCATAAGGTTTACCATCATGTAAAGATTGATCTACTTGCTTTGTTTCAATGTTTTTGAATGTTTTACTGAGATGACTACAGATACCCTACTGAATATACCCTCTAAGGATTTGGCTACCTCTGTAAGAACATCATGATCATTGTTTTTGTACTTTCCTAAATTTATATTTAGAACCAGAATTTGATGAAGGGATTTCTATTTTTTAAATAGTAATAAGGACCTTAAAAGGATACTCCTTTTAAGTCTATGGAAACATAAAAATGATTGTAGAATAGTAGTGGTTAATGTACCTTGCCCTATGATTTCTTAATGATCAATATTATCATACATTTGTAAAATATTTAGCTTTTTTACAAATTTTGACCCATGATCTCACTAATTTCCTGAGTATTCCAGGCTAAGCTTAAACCCTTCATCATTCTTCCTCTCCCTCCCAGACAGCTGGGAATATACGTATACATACATTATCCTGAGTTGGTAATTGGCAGTAATTTTGTGTATTTGTGTAGTAAAAGTTTCAGCCTTGCTCTTTAGACACTTTGCAGAAAGAGTCAATCTAGTTAAGCTATCTGCCACCTTACTAACCTGTACTTTCTTTCAGTGAGTAGGACTGAAAATCACATTAACAATGGTTGTGGATTCTCTGCTTTTCCAACTGTGATCAGCATGCGCTTCAGGAGATCACTTCAAATGACTTCTGCACTGGGACTGAGGCTTGGTGTCCTTGAAACACATTCTCTGTTTCTCTGGTCCCTCATGGAAATTAATGATTGACATCAAATTCCAAGGAAGGTGTGAAAGTTAAGGCTACTTGGGGCACACTGCCCTCCAGAAATCCAGGCCAGTGTAAAACATTTACCCTCCCATTCTACTTTCCAAGGTTTTGTTTTGGTTATGGTTTTGGTTTTTCATTCAGTTTCTAGAGATTGAGTACAGATCTTTTGCATTTAGCTCCATTACCTTCCACTTTTAAAAATCTTCCTTTTTTTTCAGGAGTTTCTCAATAAGTTGCTAAGTTGGTGGGTCTATCCTTGAATTTGTGATATTTCTGCCTCAGCCTTCCAGGCAGCTGGCATTACAAGCCACACACCAGACCTGGTCTCATTATAGTGTTGTTAAAAACTCATTTGATGAGCAAGGAATGGTGAAAATGCCTGCAATGTCAGAACTCAGGCCACTGAGGCAGCAGGATTCCTGGGATTTCCACACAAGACTGCAACACACTCTGAGTTCAGCTCAGGCCACAATGACACAGGGAGACCCTGACCAGAAAAAGAAAATAAACATGTGGGAACAGACAGGAAAGGAAAGAAGAAATAAAACAAAATTCCTGGTGACTATGAATTGGTTTGTCTCTGGGCTATGCATTTTAATCTGCCGTCCTGTTCTTGCAGTATAAGATCCTTTGACTGCCTTCAATTTACAATATACCTGGAAACCAGGTATTTTGATACCTTTCCTTTTAGTGTTCTTTCCTAGGCTGTAGGATGACTCTTTGTAATTCCTTGTGAATTTTCATTTTTTTTTTCTAGGAAAGTATTAGTGATACTTTGACATGAATGGCACTGAAACAGCTGGTTGCTCTGGGTATCCTGAACATTGTAACAACATGAATTCTTCCCATCCACCATCACAGTGTGTCTTTTCTTCTGTTAGTGCCATTTCACTCATTGCATCAGTTTCTACAGTTTTTAAAGAAAAGGTGAGTTTGGTTAATTTTTTCCTAAGCATTAACTCTTTTTGATGAATTATGCAATAAATTGTGTTCTATGTATTTGAGGCTACAGTTTGTATGAAGTGCATAAAAATGAATTGATTAGGACATGTGGATCTTGTATCTCGCAATTTAAGTGATTTATAAATTTAACCCTAAAAGGTTTTCAGTGGAGTTTTAAGTTTCTTATATGCAAGGTTGTGTCCTCAGGAAACAGAGCCAACTCTTAATTCTTACTTTCTGATTTGAAAGGCATTGCTTTGTTATTCTTAACTAAATTCTAGGGTTAGGACTTCAAATATTATGTTGAAAAGATTTGCAAGTCTTGTCTTGTTCCTGATCTGAGTAGAAAATCTTGCAGTTTGTCTGCCTCTGAGCACCATGTCAGGGATGGACTTCTCATAATAAAGATCATCATACCTGCATAGCCTATGCTGCACTGAGGCCCATTCTTCCTACACATGGTGTGTGTGAGTAGTTCTTCCCATGACAGAATGTTCAACTTTGGAATTTTTGAAAGCTATTTTTCCAAGTCTATTGAGGGGTTAGCTGTGCCCCATTCTGTGAAAGAGACAAGTGACACTGAATGGTTTTTGCAGTGGAACCATTCCTGCAGCACTGGGATTGATCTTGGTGTTGATTGTGGTGCTTCACTTTTCCATGTTCTGGTAAATTTCCTGGAAGAATCCAAAAATGATTACTACTTATTCTTTATTACACATTTGAAAAATTTTTGAGGGACATTTATCTTAGCCTGGCTTTTGTTGTTGGTATTAATCAGTTTTGATTGTTGATCCATTGCCTATGTTATTTTTTCCTCTGTTCATCAGTGTGTTTGCTCCTGATGTGTGTGGGTCAGTGACTCCAGTGGAGACCACATTCCCATTAAGGTCACGTGTCATTTTACTTAGGGATGCCGCCATTTATTTTGTATTTTCAAGCTCTCCCTGTAGTATGTATTTTTGTCAGTCACTCCTTTCATTTACTTAGTCTTTTAATGCAAACTGTTCTCCTCGGGTGGCTACTGCTGGGGGAAACTGGAGCTGGTCAGGTGCCCGTCTCTTATTTCAGGCCTCATACCCTAGCCTGCCTGCAGTGTCCCCATCTCCTCACCTTCTCACTGTAAATACCTGTCCCGCTTCACAGCTGTGATGAGTCCACATGCAGCAGTTCAGATCTGGCTTGGGTGGAAGACATTCAGCCAATGTGGGCTCTGTAACAGGCTGACCTTTTCATAGAGATCTCACCTGTGTGAGACAGGGGGCCTGAGGTCTGCAGGTAGGAGCTCTGGCAGCAGGGCCTTTCCTGCCCTCTTCTGTCCAGTGTGCACTGTGTGCTTCTTTGCTGAGATGCTGACTTGTGGATCAAGAAGCCCAGAACTGGACCTTTCTTGCCCCTGGTGCAGCGGTGTCCTGTACCTCTGCCTGGTCCATTTTCTCCTGACATCAGATCTCCACAGAGATCTGAGCACCCCTAGACTTCCTCTTCCAGACTCCGACTCAAAGTGGAGACTTCAGGTATGAAATATTTGATTATGAAATTCAACCTGTATACATTTAACCTAGAAATTCCACTGCTAAGTCTTCATTATAAAAAATGAGATTGGCAGTCACATGTATTCTCTTCTTACTCATAGTGTGAAAAGTTAGAAACCATGAATTTACCACAACAAAGCTGCCAAGTGAATTACAAACTAACAGGCACTGAAAATGCTGAAAGAAAGCCATGTCCTAGGCCATGGCCCTGGTCTTCCCTGATATGACAGAGAGCTTGTGGCCTGGCCCTCTCTCCACTCAGCAGTGAAGAGACACAGGCACACATGGCAGGCAAGGACTGGAGAGAGGAGCTAGTGGAGGGCAGACCATGATCCTGGGAGGGAAGCCTTTGTGGTTTTTCCATTTTCCATTTCCACTGCATTATTGACAGTGCTCCACTCAATATTTCTTCTCTTATGCTCAACTTAGTTAAGAATAAGTAGTGTTTAATTTCTTGAACAGATGAGTGAGAATGGAAGATTTAATTTTCATTTATATATAATGAAGGATATGCACAGTACAGAAACTTCAAACATAAGAATAAGGATTCTTGGTATTCAGAAAATCAACACATTGTTTATGACTAATTTTTAAAACCATAACACATGAGATCATGCAGAGCCCCTCCATGGTGGGGAGGTGCTGCCCTCCCCACCCTAGAAGCTACCATGTTCACCTGTGCCAGTGACTCTCAGAGGACAGCAAGAGTTTTTCTTCAGAGTCTCTTTTTCCAGCGAGGAGGAATTGAATTTTCTTGCTGCCCAGAGGCACAGGGAGTGTGCAACATGCAGAAGAGCCCAGCACTGCCTGCCTTACAGCCTTTCCCCCACTGCATCCATGCTGCAGCCCTGCAGGCATGGGAGGGAAGAACCCCCAGGATGGAGGAAAGACTCTCCCACCTCAGCCGTAGGGGCCTCAGTGACTGGGTCCCGGCCTCTGCTTCCACCAGGTGCCTGATACTGCCCTGGTTGGTGCTCTCATAGTGGATCTAACACACCCTCAGCCTCCTAGGCCAAGTGCATTTCCCACAGTGACCCTTCCAGTCTGCAAATTTTGCTCCTCTCCTTTCTGACTGTGTCTGGAGCATTAGAACAAAACACAGCATTAGCATTACCTTTTCTCTTTCTTTCTTTCTTGTTTTTTTTTTTTTGTTGTTGTTGTTGTTGTTTTTTGGTTTCTTAAATTATTTAAGCATATATTTAAAACTGCATTTTGCCAAAAAGCTTTTCTTCAGTTTTTACTCCTCAGTTGTCTGGGGTTTTACATTTTTGTACTGCAGTTCAAACCCTAGATGTTTGGATGCTCAGAATCCACTCTGCAGCTTGGTAGAATGAGGGAAGCAAAGCAGAACTTGAACTTGGGGACATTTCTGTCCCTTGTAGCATCTTGTAGAGCAAACCCTACCTAATGTCTTTTTACCCCCGAACTATAGGCTTCAGTAGCAACTGAATCTTCCACTGACAAAATGTGTGCCCTACATTTTTCCAAATAATGTCATTTCCTCTCAAATGGCTATGCAAATAGTATAAGGTTTCTTATGCCCAAACTTGAAAAATAATTTCCAGTAGAGAAGAGGCTGCCACCCCTCCTGAAATCATGATGGGATATTATGTAAATGCATATTCTGATCCACACCCTGGCAGCCATAAGCTGAGAGATGTGGAGATGGCTTGTGCAGATAGGAATCACCTTGAAATTGTCAAGCAGCAGCAGCAGCAGCAAAAAGCAGGGGCCAGAGCTGATGAGACCTCACAGTAGGGTGATGAAATCTTGTGGTGGGTTTGCCCTGGGTTTACTGAGGCAGCTCAGTAACTCTAGGTTACTGCCAGGGTCCATCTTCCTGCAGTGCAATACAAAGGGGAAGTCATGTGCATGCAGCATTAACTGGGAGATTTTCTTTTGCAGTTAAGAAACTGTATGCATGAGATGTCCCCTCTGCCATAGGAGACCCCTCCCCGGAGTATTATTTCCATGTCTCCTAAAGGGTCAGTTTTTTTACACAACATGCAGAGTGCTGTTCTGAGTCTTACCTGCACCTCTGGGACCTGGGGCCAGGGCAGGGTTCCCTCCAGCAGCCAGGCACAGCATGCTCCACACAGCTCTCCTATGTCCACCTCACTTGTGGTCCATGTCTTGTGGGAGGGGTCCCCCCCAGACACTTCACTGTAGTGCTACTGAGGACTGCAGACATGCCCAGAGCCATCGGAGCCTGTGACACAATCTTCAATTCCTCTTCATTGGGGGATGAGAGAAATTGAATCTCTCCTTCTGTCAACTCTATTTCTGCACTGAAGGATTTTTACTGAGGGGAATCAACAGCAAGTATGTTGATATCTGTGAAGCAGCTCAGTGGTGCATGACTTCCTGCCTTTCCCACAGAACTAGCCAATGTACAAACAGCTTATATGTAAATACCTTTTAAAAATGTAATGTGGTTCTATTGTATGTGTCTTTCATGGCTCCTTTTTCAGAAACTCTTCTCACCTGATAGTTGTGTTGTTTTCTTGTTTTTTTTTTTGTTTTTTTTTTTTTTTTTAACTGAGGAAGAAAAGCAAAGACTGAGTGGCCCTGGTCCGGATACTGTGACCTCTCCTACAGCTGAGTCTTGGTCCTCTTCCAACCCATCCTTGTACTCTGTGCTGTCTCCACGCCCTCCCCCCACACCCTGGGAAGAAAGGGCACCTCTGTTTGGTTTAAGTGAGGCTTCTCAGGTGACATTTCTTCAACTAAGGAAAAACCTCTTTTCCACCTTTATATGGACCTTCTGCCCCTTTTTCTGTCTTCTGAGGCTGCTAATGACAAGTCCAAGGAGGACTCTGTACTGGAGAACTATGTTTGTGTCATTAATATATGCTTTTATAAATGCCAGATTTAGAAAAAGAAAAAAGAAATTTTGGTTACATTTATCTGTTTCACAGGTTCCTGATAGATTCCTGTGCTACTTCCCCTCACAAAGATGACATTGTCCAATAAGGACTTTGAGAGTAAAACCAAGAAAATCATTCACATTTCTGGCCTCTGTAGCTCTGCTTCACTAAGTGATGGGCAAATCTCCCAGACTCTGCCTTGCTCTGCCTCTGTCACTCTGTCTGTCTCATGCACATCTCTGTGTATACACACATTGATGTCAGAGATACTACATTGTAAAACCTGAGACCATCCACACACACACATCCATCTTGCATCCATGTGTTATTTCATAATGAGATTCCTTGACCTCTTTCCCTGTGAGCCCAGAGAGACTGAGCTCAGCATCCCTGTAGCTTTCCCTGGTTCCCATGGCCCACACTGATGGCCTGCACCCTCTACATGGAGGGTAGAAAGGGTCCCAGTATCTTGCTGCTTCTAACAGTGCTGTGAACAAGTCTTGAAAAGAAAACTTAAAAGGTAGTGCATCTTTTTCTTTATTTTTTGTGTTGTGAAGCTCTCTGTGTGGGAGAAACTTCTATGCTTAGCTCTGTGAGGTTCATGGACCCTGTTAGAGCTGTGATGGGAGGTGGGGAAAGGGGCTCTGCTCTGCCCCCAGTGTTCTCCACAGTGCTGTTCAGCACCTGCTTTAAAACCTGCCACTGGATGGGGACACAGCACGTCTCAGTGACCCATACTTGAATGTATCTGTAGTGGGATACTGTACATTTTATACACTTGCTGGCAATATGAGCTGATTCCCTCTTGAACTGCAAGAGTTTGTCTCTTATCTCACAAAACAAATGAAAAGGCAATTCCAACCTCAAAGATTAATGTGTTTAATTTTTAATTATAAACTGTAGTCTATCTGGGATTGTCCCCTTTATCAAAGAGAAATATCAGTTAGTCTCTTCCAGTACTGCTTGACCAAACAGAGTTGTGTTGAAGTGATGTAAAAACTTGGAGTAGTAAATCACAGAGGCAGAAAGATCAGTGGTGGCTGGGACTGGCAGGGAAGAGAGAGAATGGTGTCCAAATGGGAATGAAGTTTTGGGAAATGTTCTGGAACTATACAGAAATGAAGGTTGTGCACACTGAGAATGTGTACATGCCACTGCACTGAGGATGTTGATTAAAACAAATGAAATCATATCCTTTATTTAAAATTAATTTATGCCATAATATATAAAAGGATTATAGAGGTAAAGGCATGAAAATGGAAAAAAATCATGGAGAAGATGGGAAAGTCAGGTTTTCATCAAGAGCTGGCCTCAGGGTGAGGTTGAGGAGCTGCCAGCTGCTGACGGGCCCTGATAGCCTCAGCATTGGAGCTGACAGAGATCAGCTTCCTCTTGCTGGCTCTTCCTGTGGTCCCAGAGTTGGTGAGGGTACTGTAGTTGTGTCAGGCAGAAAGTCTGCACCTGGTCCTTGAGCTTGGTGCCCAGCCCACCATTCAACAGCAAGAGGAGAAAAGATCATCAGTTGCCCACATTCCTTGCACAGCCATCAGACTTCCAGTGACTGTCAGAGACAGCTCTGTGCACAAATCCACTACTAGGCAGTCTTCCCACACTGCATCTACCCACTGACTTCTGTGTCTCAGGGCTTCAAGGTGGTCCCTTAGCCTTGTCCCTTCTCATTTGTTCACAGGCCTGTACCCAGTCCTCCTCACTGTTGTTCTCTGCCTCACTGGGCTCACAGTGCTCCAGTTCAGGCAGGAGAAGTAACTTTGGAAGATCCATGTTGGTTTGCAGCTGCTGCTTGGAGCCAAGAAGCAGGCCTAAGGTCCTGGGGGTGCAAGGTGTGGGCGGCTGAGTGTGAGCTGGGTGTTCCCACCCTAACTACTCTCCCAAGGCACCCTGCTGAGTTGGATACCTGGCTGCTGCTCCAGCTGTGGAGAGCCCAGTTCCACCCTATCTCCACCACTAGTGGAGCAGTGCTGCCCCAGACAGCTCTGGGGGACTGACAGATGACTCCATGGGAGAGCCTGTGAACAGTGTTGTGACCCCCTCTCTGTTCTTCAGGAAAGCTGTACACACATCTGTCTAGTGCTCCCCAGTGGTATGTTGCCTTCACAAGGGGATGGAAAAGTGTCTACTATGGTACTGGGATTGTGCTTCATACATATGTGAGAAGTGAGGGAACAGAAGGGATGGGTAGTGTTCCACCTTTCCTCAGCTGTTAGATTGCACAGAGACTTGCCACCCAGTACTCTGTGCTTCCTCTTGAGTCCCCTTCCACTGATGTGTTTCCATATCTAGGGAAGCCCAGAGGAAATCTCATGTACCATAAATTTAGTAGTATATGATCTGCCATCCAGGGTGACTGTGTTGCTCCCACTAGTGTGGAAGGTCAAGAGGGCAGTAGCTACATCTTTGTTGGTCATTGGATCATGGTCAGTGCCTGGCAAAGTGTCTGTTCACAGTGTAGCTCTATGTATATTCATGTACTCATGGCACCTACTGGTTCTGGTGATGTCATCTGAATGGGCCTGGGGCCTCTGCAAGGCCCAAGAGAATCTGGCTATGAATAATACATCCTAAACCCCATAGAGCATCCTAGGAATCAGATTTTGCATAATGGCAAGTTCATGTTCAAATTTAACAATTTAATCATCAGTGAAAATCTCTTAAAGTAAATAAAAAAGCTAGAGATTTTGTGTTAATACCTGTGGTTCATTCCTACAATGGAAAAGAAAAACGTGTAGTGTATAATCAGTCAAATCACAAGAATTATTGCTTTGTCCTCCAGAAACTAATGTGGGTGTGAAAGAAACAGACACACACCACGATGTTCAGATGCATGAAAAACACCACAGTGGAGGGAAACCCTGGGTATCCAAACAATATGGGAAAGCTTTAACCACACATAGAAATAGTAAGGAACATGAAAGAATTCACACTGGAGAGACCTCATGTATGTAAGCAATGTGGGAAAGCTTTTACAACCAGTGGACATTGTAAGCAACATGAAACAATTCACACTGGAGAGAAACCTTATGTATGTAAGCAATAAGCAAAAGCTTTTATCAAATGTGGACATCGTAAACAAGATGAAAGAACACTTGAGAAAAACCCTATATATGTAAGCAATGTGGGAAAGCTGTTACCTCACCTAGAGATTTTAAAAGTCATGAAAGAATTCACACTTGAGAAAAACTCTATATATGAAAGCAATGTGGGAAAGCTTTTACCTCACCTGGAGATTTTAAAAATCATGAATTCACACTGGTGAAAACCGTATGTATGTAAGCATTGTGGGAAAGCTTTTACCAACATGGACATTGTAAGCAACATGAACGAATTCACACTGGAGAGAAACCCTATATATGTCAGCAATGTGGGAAAGCTTTTAGCCAATGTGGACTTTGTAAGCAGCATGAAAGTTCACACTCGATAGAAACCCAATATATGTGAGCACAGTGAGAAAGCTTTCAGTACAACTACATATTGTGTACTGCATGAAAATCTTCACACTGGCCAGAAACCATATATATGTAAGGAATACTGGAAAGCTTTCAGCAAAATGCTCATTGTCAAAACACATGAAAATATACCCTCTGGGGAGAAACTACATACATAAAGAATGTGGGAAAGCTTTCACCTCACATGGATATTGTAAAACACATCAACAACTTCACACTGGCGACAATACCTATGTATGTAAACAATGTGGGAGAGCTTTTACCACATATAGTCATTGGAGAACGCATGAAAGAATTCACACTGGTTGCTGGGGGTTTAGCTCAGCGGCATAAGTGCCTGCCTTGCAAGCAGGCAGTCATGAGTTTGATCCCCGGTACCGATAAAAAGAAAAAAGACCAAAAAAAAAAAAAAAAAAGAATTCACACTGGGAAGAAACACTGGCTATGTAAGCAATGTGGGGATGATTTCAGGAGCCAGAGTGAATGTGAAAATCAGGAGGAAACCCACACTGGGAATTCATTGTATACATTATGGGAATACTCTCAGCAAACATGATAATAGTTACATATCTGAAAGAGCTCACTGGGCAGAAATCCTATGTGGACTAGCAATGTGAGAAATATGTCAGTCAACACACTTTGTTAAATACATAGAAAAAGCCTCACTGATCTGAATTTTTAGATCTAAGTTTAGTTTTAAAATCCCAAGGAGTCCTGAAGAAATAATTAATACAAAAGTTTGATGTCCACATTTCTTCACAAATTTTCCAGAAATGACAAATCTGAGGTGGAGCTCTCCTCAAGTACATGTTATGTGATTTTTAGTTAATCACTTGTACTTATCTAGATTTTTTAAAGTGCATTTGTGCTTAAACATAGTGTCTTTTAATTAAACATGGTAAACTGAAATTACTTTTTCTGTTCAAATATGCGTAGTGTCTATGTACTTAATGTTTTGTCTTTAAAACTTAATTTTTGTATTTTTTGGTAAATTGTAATATTGATGCTGCATTTGTTGTAATCTTTTGCTTCATTTTCTGTGGCATAAATGATATTTCTGAAATTGATGCTATATTTGACATTAAGATATAAATTTAAAGAGGCTTGGAGCATACGTTTTTGACAAAGTTGTGTTCTTTTCACATGACTTGTACATTAATGAATGTTATGTTTTTCATGCTGTGACAAGATACTTGCTTATATCCTAACATCACTGGATTTATACCATGTACATTATGTTGCCTGTTTCTCTTTTTCCCTGGAGCAAATATTGTCCTTTATGTAAATCTTTGTTTTTCTAACCATTAGAATATTACCTGTTATATTTATATTGCATCTTTTGTATTATTAAGTTTTCTACCACATTTACCAAAAGTAAACCATACTGCTGTGAATTTCTAATTGCCCCACACTGACAGAACCATAACTTGTCTCCAAAAGCATATAACAAATTATATTAATGTCTCCAGAAAGTAAAAAATGTGGTATGATTTGTCAGTAACCACACTTTGAAAGGAATTTTTTAACTGTGGACTTGTTTTGGGGAAAAAGGTTGCTATTGAATGTTTCATGCAAATGCCTTTATTTTACTCTTTGGTGTTGTGAACGTATTATCTATTTTGTAATTATTACTGATATTTCCTAAAGCACTGAAGTAATGGCATGAAGGGAAATCTAAATTTTGAGCTGTCAGCACAGTGAAAAATAAATTTGCTAAATTATAATTCAGATTGCGTTCTGTTTTTTACTGAATTGTGAATTTATACAATTGCATGTCTCATTATTTATAAGGACAACTGCCTGATGTTTGTGGTTTGTGCTGATCATATTTAAACACATACAATGGGCCATGAGTCCCAGTTGGTATTCTGTGAACTGTGGTTTTCACTTCCATTTTATCAGTCATGTAATTTGTAAAGTGTTTAATTCAGTGTTGTTGAATATAAAATCTACTTAGGTTCCATTGGAATTATGCTGTTAAAAACTGGTGTCATGGAAACACAAGTGAGCACTGCATTAAATACCCCTAATCCAATGAAGATAGCTTGCCCTAATATCAGTTATGCTTGGACACATAAATTACTCTCTTGTTGTATAATCACCACTAAAACTATGTCTGTTTTATATCTGAAGTCTCTGACATGCTTTATGAAGTAAAAGAAATGTAAAATACATCATTAGCCTCTATGCACTACAGCATATGGCCAGATTCCCTGCAGCACATTTCTGCTTACCATCACCAGGAAGATGTGGAGTATGTATTTCTAGTAATAGAATATTGAATCTATAAGACATATATCCTGAGTACATTCACTTTCTCATTTTACCATGAAAATAAATCTTGGAGGTCCTGTTGATTCATGCTTGTAATCCTAGCAACTCAGGTGACTTAAATTAGTGGAAAAGAAATTTGAGTCCAGGCTACACAATTTAGTATGACCTGTCTCAAACTATATCTTCAAGTTCTGCAGATGTGGTCTAGTGCTTTAGTACTCGCCCCATGTCAACATTATTTTGATACTCACAGTTATACATCAGTGGTCCTTTTATCACTGGCCCACCTAGCAGTTATCCCCAAGCATCACATGGGAAGCAAATTTGTTTATGCACTGACTATGCTGAGCATCATTGGGGCAGTTGTAATTTTAATCCATTGATTCCTGTATTAAATATATTACTACTGTCACTTTTATATTTCTTGTTATTTTATAAAAACTAAAAAAAATTATGCAACTTTTGATCATCTTGTATTTAAATAATTGCACTGTTAAGGAGTTATGTATAAAGATCTAGGTTAAATGTGATTCATTTAGTCCCAGCATCAGTAGATGATGAGAAGAGAAGGTAATAGCTTAGAAGCTGACTTTGGGTGGCAACTTTGTTAGAAGATTTAGCAGAGTGCATAGCAGTTGTTTTTATACCTGCAACTGAGGTTTAAGGAAACAAGTAAGTGGAGGTCAAGAATATAAATTTAGGGATAGGATAAAAGAATCACAACTGCAAATCATGATTTTTCTTTCACTTAGGAAATGTACTTTTTATGGTAATCTGTGCAGCAGTCTCAAATATGCCTCTATTAGAGTAAAATATAGTAAACATGAATGAGCCATGCATTCCATGTTCTGAATGTAGAGGCATTAAAAAGAAACTTTTTTAACTTAATGCTATTGCTGGTGTTTTGTATTGAAAATAAGATAGGGTGAAAAAACAATCAAAAAGGATTATACAAGATTTCATAGTCCTGCACAAACATAGAAGCCAAAAAAAAAAAGAAAGAAAGAAATCAAATAAAAAAGGATGAAGAAATAATCTACAGAATGAGAGAAGTTTTGCATGTTACTCCCTGACAGCTAGCATGTAAAGTCAATAGGAACATGAAATGAATACACACTTTTTAGAGTAGATATAAATTGCCAAGAAATACCTGAAGAACTATTACGTGTTTTTGCACAAAGGAGAAATGCAAATAGGGACACCTTCATTGCAGAGAGAGCAAATCACCACAAGATCAAAAGAATGATCATGAGACCACAGGAGAAAAGGAACTATTTAACCTTGTCGGTAGAAATGTAAATAAGTAGTTCAATCATTACTGATGTCAGTGTGCAAAGTATTCAAATACTGAAGGTAGTAAGTCCAATCAGTGCAGTTTCCTTTAGTGCATCTCTTCCCCAAAGAGATAAGGACATATTGCAGTGATGCATGCAGATTCCTTTTTACTGCAGCAACAGTCACTTTTTCTATAGAGAACAGCAGTCCTCAGAGGAAAATTTATTACACTGACTTCCCACATCAGGAAAACAGAATGAATACAAATAAACAGCTTGATGCTACACCTCAAATATCTACAAATACAAGAGCAAGTGAAGCCCAAAGCCAAAAGAAGGGAGAACATTATAAAAATCAGAGAACAAATCAATGCAGTAAGAACTAAGAACACAATCCAAAGAATCAATGAATCAAAGAGTTTGTTTTGTGAAAGAATAAATAAAATTGATAAGCACCTAGCCTGCTACATTATTTAAAAATGGGAAGAAAAGGCTCAAATTCATGCAATATGGAATGAAAAAGACAAAATCACTACAGACTCTTGGGAAATACAGAAGATCATCAACACCTATTTTAAAATTTCTACTCACATTTGTTTAATAACACAAAAGAAATGGACAGATCCTAGAAACATATGAAGTACCAAACCTGGATCAAGAAGATATAAAACTGATGAATAACCCAATTTCTATTAATGAAATTGAAAATATAATAATATAATTCTCCTTATGTACAAAGAGGAGCCCAGGCCCAGACAGATTCACTGTGGAATTCTACAAGAAATACAAAGAACCTTAATGCCAGCACTCCTCACATACTTCAATGAAATCAAAAGGAAAGCAACTCTTCCTTAATCATTCCTGGAAGCAAATATTATTCTATTACCAAAATCCGAGAAAGACCCAACTAAAAAGGCCAATCTCCCTATATGAACACAGAAGCAAAAACCCTTAATAAAATATTGGCAAACAGCATGCAGAAAATCATCAAGATTATACACCACAACCAAGTGCGATTCATCCTAAGCATGCAGGGATAGTTCATCATATGTAAATCAATCAATGTAATCCACCATATCAATAAAACCAAAAGTAAGAATCACATGAGCATTTCTATAAATACAGAAAAAGCTTTTCATAAGGTGCAACTTCCATTCATGATAAGAACCTTACAGAAAATTGGAATAGATGATCTTTACCTCAGTATGATAAAGGCCATCTATGACAAACCAACAGCCAGCACCATATTAAGGGGCCAAAAACTGAAGGCTTAAAATAAGCACAAGACAAGGATGTCCCCCATCACCATTCATATTCAACTTAGTACTGGAAATACTAGTCAGAGCAATTAGATAAGAGATAGAAAAAAAGGGGTACAGATAGGAAAGAGGAAATTAAATTATTATTATTTGCAGATGACATGATACTCTACATAGAAGACCCCAAAACTACACTGGACGTCTCCTAGATATAATAAATATATTCATCAATTTAGCTGTATACAAAGTAATATTCAAAAAGTCAATAGCATTCCTATACACTAGAAACAAAATCATTGAGAGAGCAGTAAAGAAGTCACACCCTTCACACTACCATCCAAAAAAAAAATGAATTACTTTGGAATTGATCTCATGAAGAAGTAAAAACATATATGTGTGTGTGTGTGTGTGTGTGTGTGTGTGTGTGTGTGTGTGTGAGGAAAATTATAATATCCTGAAAAAGAAATCAAAGATGATCACATAAAATGGAAAGATATCCCTTGTACATGGATAGGAAGACTAAATATTGTGAAAATGGACTTTCTCTCAAAACTGTTACACAGATTCGCTGTGATCCCAACGAACATAACATCAACATAGCTCTTAGATTTATAGAAATCACTCCTAAAATTAATCTGGAACCAAAAGAGACCTAGAATAGCAAAAATAATTCTAACAGCAAAGAAAACATAGGAGACATCACAATCCCTGAGTCAAAGTTATTTTACAAAACAATTATAATAAAATCAACATGTTATTGGAATAAAAAAATTATAAAGATCAATGGAATAAGAAGATACAACAACAACTACAAACACAACTTACATTTGATATAGGGATCAAACATGTACCCTGGAAGAATGACACTCTTCAATAAATTGTGCTTGAAAAACTGGGTCTTCATAGGCTGAAAACTAAAACTAGACCCATGGCTATCACCAAGTACTTGAATACATAGGAGTAGGTAGAGAATTCATGGACAGGAATCAAAATACATGGGAAATACTTCCCAGAATCAATAACTGGGATCACATCTTATTAAAAAGTTTCTACACGTGAAAAGAAATCTCCAACATAGTGAAAAGAAAACCCACAAACTGGAAAAAATCTTAGTGAACTGTCCCTCAGACAAAGGACTTCTGTCTAAAACATGTAATGAATTAAAAAAATCAGACCCCCAGAATTCAAAGATCCAATCCAAAAATAGCAACTGAGATGAATACACAATTCTCAGACAAAGAAATACAAATGGCAAATAAATATATGGCAAAATGATGCTCATCATTTTTCACTAGAGAAATGCAAATTAAAACCACACTGAGGTTCCATCTCACTCCAGAAAGAATGGCCAGGATCAAGAAAACAGACAACAAATGCTGGAGAGGCTGTGAGGAAAAAGGAACTCTCCTGCACTGTTAGTGGGAGTTTAGTAGACTGTTGAAACCATTGTGGAGGTCAGTCTGGAAATTTCTCAAAAAGCTGGGATTGGAAGTCCCACTGGATCTAGCTATTCCACTTCTAGGCATATTCCCAGAAGAACTGAAAACATCATACCTCAGTGATATATATGCACTCATTTTTATAGCAGCACAATTTGTAATAGTTGGATCTTGGAAACAACCTAGGTGTCTGTCAACTGAGAAATGGATAAAAAAGCTGTGGTATTTTTACACAGTGGAGTACTACTCAGCTATAAAGAATAATCACATTGAGATATTTATAAATATATCAATGCAACTTGAGACCTTACTCTTATGTGAAATAAGTCAAACTAATGTATAAATACTGTATAGTCTCCCTAATGTAAGAAATCATAAGAGTACATAAGAGTTTATGGTGATCATGATTCCCCATTACATTGCTTTGGAGACTTATAATGTTCCCATTCAGTAGTTGGAATTGTTTTATCCTGGGTTG